CTGCTGTTGTGGCTGTTGTCTTAGCAAGCTTCGCATCTCACGCCCTATGTGACTCACTAACATACGCCACCAGCGAGAGGGCCCGAGCTCGACACGCGGCGTCTTCCGGCCACCTCCGCCATGTCCTCTATTATAATAGTACAGCAGTGTACTACTGCTATACATGTGTTCGCGCCTCATTTATGCATCCTTCCTTGCTGATGTTGTTGTTATTGTCTTCGCCTTAAAAACCGGTCTCCGCTCAGTACTTTCTACTGTCCGTACTGGTCCAACTGACGCGAACGCCTTCCGTGGTCACAAGGCCAACTTTCCTTGCAGGGAATAAAGTATACAGTCAGTGGAGCTGCTTTTCTTGGTTTGCTCAACCGTTTTGCGCTTTGGCGCCTGTAGTTATGTGCGCGCTCTCTCTCCTCTATGACCGGCACTTTCGGGTCGCCAGATGAGCCGCTAGTCCAACGCTGCTTCACACCATTATGGTGGTACTGGCCGGCGGTTGGTGTTTCGATGGTTGGACAATATCAGGTGCACGCGGTTGGTGTACCGGCAGTAGGTACAGCAGTAGATACCGAACCTACGCTACACAGCAGCGCTAGTAAAAAAGGCGAAGCCCTGAGAAGCACAACCGTGGATCACTCGTCTACTGCCATAATCTACAAAACATAGATTACTCACGTTATGGGAATTGACACGAAGGCCTCGGCATGACCTTCGTGTCAATTCCCAGAAAGTGAGTCATGTGTGTTTTGTAGCCGCTGTTGTGTTTCTCATCGCTTCGCCTTTCGTACGAGCGCTGCTGTGTAGTGAAGCTACATTTGAGCAAGAGTCGGCGAGAGGCACGCAAATAATATCGCGCTGACCTACCGCGTGTTTTTTTTTAGATACCGCACGCCCTGGACCGATTTTCAAAGCTTCAATGCCCACAAGGATGGCATTCGAGAGATTCCATCGAAAACTTCCAGAGACGCATCGGTCCGCATTGCCAACCCCACTGACGTGGAAAAATGGAGCTTGTACTGCACGAAAACCGGTGCAGGGGGTGTGGTATCTTACGTGGCACAATTGCACCTGTCCAGTGTATGACAGACACCCAGCGATCCCGTGAAGAAACCTCCTGCACGCAAGAGGAGCTTCCCTAGTCTTGGGCGTTGAGTTCTCTCACGCGAGTTCGTATGTCGCGTTTAGTTTGTGGTTTTTTCTGCTGTCTGCGTTTTCGTGTTCACACCGGCGCAGCAAGCCAGTCGTTTGTGCAGCTCAGGACCTCTTCTCGTCAGCCCTTATTAAACGCGCCACAACGAGGAGCATCTTCCACTGCTGGCCTATTCAGCGTTGGCTCTGATGGGCCAGGACCCTGTCAATGGGACTGACTAGTTACTGCTTTCGTGCTGCTGTTTTACGGACGTGTTGTGCCACTCAGTACCTGCTGTTGCGCTCGCTGTAGTGTTGCCCAACAGGCCTTATAGAAACACGGTTTTCTGATAAATTAAGCTACAGTACTCCCGTTACACTTTTCTCCGGCTACCGTGCTCTGGTGCTGCGGTGTTGCTGCTACTCATTGCTGCTGCTGCTGCTGCTGCTGTGATTTTTCGGATCTCAAGGAAAGATTGTCTATTTTGTTTATGCGAAAGACGGTGGTCGATGCACATGAGAACCGAGGCTGGAAATACAAGGCCCCGAGGTTGTATTTTGGTGTCATCACACGCAGATCCTTGCTTGATATTTGTGTTTTAGCACATGTAGAACCGACCGCGGCTATCTCTGGTAGCAGTAGCATGCACCGGACACGTACTTGTGTGTTACAATCCGTGACGATCCCGCTCTTCCCCTCCCCCCCCCCGTCCTTGTCTCCTCTGCTTTTCTATGAAGCGGCCGCGACAAGCGGAGGAGAGAAGATGAGCCTGAACGTGATGAAGATCCTGCTCCAGGTGTGTCTGACCACGCTTAACGTGGTCTGCTGGCTGGTGCCCATGAAGATCCGCAGCTTCGTCGAGTCCAAGAGGGCAATCAGCATGGCCAACGCCTTCAGTGGCGGGGTCTTCCTCTCTCTGGCGTTCGGTGAGAGATAAGATAAGACACACGCAACCAACCCGCCACGGCTGCCGTCAGCATATGGTCGTTGCATAGTTATTGCTTGTGTGTCGTACCCACCGAACGAGTGTTGTTGCACTTACGGTCCTGGAACACATTGCGGCCTCCTTCTGTATGACGTCTCCAAATCTTGGGGTTAGCGTTTTGAATCTGACGTCCAAAATTGGACAACACAAGTACATATCTCACCCCTGCCACTACCCTATTCCCTCCAGTCCCGTGCACAACGTGTGTATTTACCTGTAGCACAGCGTTAGCAACTCGACGACCGGTTGTATCCAACAAATTTTATCCCGTCCCCTCGCCGAACCCCGGAATCTTGGTGGGCGACAGGTGAGCATCATTGCCGATGTTGCATACATCCCTCGCGCGCCCCTCTCCCTGCTGTTTTGCTGCTGACACCGATTTTGTTGTTCAGGCCACATGATGCCGCACGCCACTCTCGGGTTCGAGGAATCGGGCCTGCCGGCGAACGTGCCGTACTTCCTCACCCTCTCCGGGTACATGCTCATCTTCTTCGTGGAAAAGGTGGCGTTCGACGCGCACAACATCATGCACGAGGGGGACGGCCACGGACAACAACAGCACGGCGGCGGCAAGGCCGTAGCTGACGGTAGCAGCGTCGCGGCGGTGGCGGCGGGCGGGGGGGAAGGTGGGGTGGCGGCGGGGGGCAACAGCGGGAGGTCGGCGATCATCTTGCTGCTTGCGCTGGGCGTGCACGCGCTCATGGAGACGATGGCGCTGGGGCTGAGCTCGAATAGGGTCAGCGCGGGGCTGCTGGCCATGAGCATCGGGCTCCACCAGGTCTGTTTCTGACATGCCGTCGGTCAGCGCGCATGCACAACAGTAGGGAGGCCGTTCGCTGTGTGGTTTATGGTTGGGCCTCATCGGGCTGTGTTGTTTTGACGCACGTGTTGTGTGTTTGCAGAGTGGGCTGGCTGGAGATAGCTGTGAGTGCAAGCACGGACATGAAATGGTGGACAAACGGGCACGGAGAGATCATTTTACGCGGTGCTTCGATTGTGTGCTCTTGTACGTCCAGCTTGAAGAATTGAGCGTCGCTGTTGGACAAAGCTCAGGGTGCGCCCCCCGCTGTGTAAGAAAAAGTTGTCGAGGACCCACCCCCCCCCGCGCGCGCCCACCCGTTCCCCTCTTGCCGTCGTCGCCCCCTTCGTCTACACGCCGTAACCGCCATCCTGTTTTGCCTGGTGAAGCCGGCCGAGTCGCTGGCCTTGCTGGTATCCTTCTTGAAATCAGGGCTGTCTGAGAGGCAGGTGATCAAGTACCTGTCCATCTTCAGCTGCCTTGGCCCTGCGGGTGAGTCTCGCGCGCTTTCCCCCGTCTAGCGCTCGTTGATTGGCTACACGGTAAGTTTGCGAAGTAGGACCTGAGGCTTGTATACAGGTAGGTTTGTTGCCCGATGTGGCTTGGATCGCGGTTAATCCCCCTTTCTCTACAGGTATTTAGCTACAGCAGCAGTAGCCTTGGTTCGAGTCGTTTTAGGGCGGTGTTGGTTGTTTCTGCCGTTGTCGACAACGTGTGGGTCGTGCTTGCCTGTGTCCTTCGTTTGGTGCGGAGTCGGCCAACGGGATTGTACGAACGTTTTTGTCAGTGGCAATACTGCACACGGGGCAAGGGTTGGCACGACATGCCTGTCGCCCTCTTGTCGGCCCACCGACGGCGTGAAAGCATTGCCTCCCGATTTCGTCATTTGCGGGACTGTCTGGTCACCGGGATGTTTGCAGGCCTGTTCGTTGCGGTTACCGGCGAGAGTTCGTAGTGGAAGAGAGAGGTCCTGAGAATGGTACAGTTTTGCGGTAAGCCGGAAAACAGTTGCCCCCTCGTTGCCACGTTGTTGTCTCCGTCTTGTTTTCGGTGTCTGCTTGAGTGCTCGGTTCCGCGTTTCTCGTCTAGGACAAGCATGATGACGCAGTTGAACACCGTAGGCTTCCTTTTTTTTTCGTTTCCGTTTCTCTCCAAACAGGGCTAGGCCTTGGTATCGCAATCTCGGAGTTCGCGGGCAAGCTAGCGGACGCCGTGATGGTGGCGATGGCGGCGGGGACGTTCATCTACGTCGGGGCTACCGAGGTCATCGCCGAGGAGTTCGAGAGCCCACATGACAAGTGGAAGAAGTTCTCCGCGCTGACAGGTATGGTGACTGCGTGTTGCAATGCGTTTCGCTGCTTCTCTTTTATTTTTCACCTCAAATTAGTATTTCGCCGACAAATTGGGGACCTGTATGAGAGGGCAGTAGACTACTCTTGGCGGGACGGTATTTCGTGCCACTCTGTTCGATGCCGAGTGATGATAACTTGTCATATTTTTTTTTGTGTGTGAACGGCAATCTTATTCGTGTTTCATTTTCTCATCTCAATGGTCGCGGTTAGCTTTTGACCACGTGCGTTCTTGAACAAGCGCGTCGCGGTTGATCGTTGGACCAAAGTTATGTTCGACTCGAGGTGGCTTTTGTAGCTCCCCACCCACCCACCCCACCGTCGCCGGCGAGGCGCGTTTGGCTGACCTGACACGGAAAACCCTCTGTTGTCCTTTCGCGTTTCTGTCGTTGTTTGATCGCGGCCCAGCCGGAATTGTCATCATCGCGTATGTGACTCACTGGGCCGAGTCCCTGGAGCACATGGCGTGATTGATGCCTCTCGACCAAATCGTTTTCGGTTAGATAGTGGTTTGCCCCTTTCGACTTACTGTCGTGCTGAAAGTGGCGTCGGCATTAAGCGTATGGAGAAAGATGGTAGAGTAGCGCGCACGACATCGAATGTGTTCAGATATTGCCTGGCTGGTTGGGGCCCTTGGGGTCAACGAGTCCAAAACATTTCACGGTTGTTTCGTTTTATGTGCAATCGCATTTACGATTTTAGACGAGAAGTCGACCAAGGTATAAACACGCACGTTTGTAGCGACTTTAAATTTTGGTGTCTAAACTAATGTTGTGGCCAAATGGTTGGGGCTGCGTGGTGTCATTTGTACTAAACGGCGCGCGTGGGAGTGTATTAACTTGCCTGCGAAGCGTGGGGGATTTCGAACACAAACCCTCCTATCCCTTCGAAGCCGGAAACGGAACGCATCGATGGTCCGGCGAAGGGGCGGGGGCTGTCAAGCTTAGCAAGATGGATCGATGATTGCGTGTTGTGTAGAGCGAGCGGGTGGGCAGGCATGTGTAAGGGACTTTTGGTAGACGTGGCGCACGCGCAATCGACGACACACATTAGCAACATCAACCTCACCACGAGCTTGTTCGTTCACAGAGGAGGGCAGCGCGCACGCGCTTCGTTCGCATGGCCTTCTTCGGTGCAAGTTGTGAGAGGGCTGACCAGCCGCCGCGCTGGCTTTTTCCTTTTGTCAGACCGCCGTTCTTTTTTTAGTGCGGACGTGACAGGAGCGTTTCCACAAACAATATGTTTTCTCTTCTTTTCACGTGTGTGAAAATATCAAGACTTGACACCGCAGTGTGCCGCAGCGGTCTGCGCACCTGCTTAACCCAAATGCGCCATTCACCTAGCCTGCCGGCTTGTATTGGCTACTTCGTCGGGCGGCCGAGAGTACGCCCAGCTCGTAGCCCAGACAGACGAGGCCCGCGTGCCCGTTTGTTACAAAACCTCCAGGTGTGAGTGGCTCGCCCACTACACTCACCAACAATCTTTTTGCCAGTGTCCAAAGGACCTCCTCAACTCTCTACGCCCTGTCTCTATACTCTAGGCTACTCTCCATTTCAAATAAAGTTCGCAGCTCTCGTGCACGAGATAATAGGTGTTTCTGACAGCTTAGAGAGAGTCCAGCTCTTCGCCAGCGCTCTCCGCATTAATTCCAGTCGACTGATGATCAAAAGCCCCCCCCGATGCGCGCCCCACAATTTGTACTCTCGTCTACTTTCGGCGCACACGGTGTCTGGGGAAAATACCATCAGAAACGCAAAGTTGTAAGACGTGTTGCGTGCACGCCGCGAAACGCTCGCCCAGCGAACGTGAATACGAGACGACGAAAGATAGCGCCTCCTAACAAGCTATAATCTCTCTTGGCATTTGGTTGCGTAGGCGAATTTCTACATTTTTTCCCTCTGTGCCCTCCTGGTCTCGAACATAAAACTCCACAAAAAAAAAGCCATCGATGCGAAAAAGGCTACCTGGAGTGAAACAATTTACGTGCTCATGAACCCATCTGAAGCTAACTCCTCTCTGGTTTCTAGTGTATGTACAAAGTCAATACGTGCTGCTCGATAGCTGCAGCAGTACCTCCTGTCTCAAGTGTTACCTAATAATTACTTCCGCAAGACTAGTGGAGAGGCTTCGAGAGGTACACCCGGGGGGGGCGTCTTCGACTTCTCGCCATCATCTCGTCCTCGAGCGCCGCCAACTCGAAGCCCATCCCTTGGTACAGAGCTAGCGCAATGTCGTTGCCCTACCAACCACAAGAACAAACACCACGGCACGAGAGACGCGAGCGATTAGCGTGGACGAACAGCCAGACACGCACAAAGAGCGAAAATTCGGTGGGTTAGGGCTCGAAAATGGGCATGACACTCAACTCAGATATTATGCGTTTTGGACCACGAAAAACATCTGATTGCCGAAACGACGAGAGAAAAAAATGCTTTTAAGCTGGTGCGGTGTGGTCACTGCTTTTAAACCGAACGGGGTAAAGCTGCAGTGTCGCCCCCCCCCCTCCCCTCCCCTCTCCTCCCTCTCGAAGCGTCTCTTGCCTGCTCAACGGACACGTAAATGTTCTCCTCCGCCGGCCACAGCTCCCTCACGATCTCGATGGCCGAGTTGACCATCGTGCGGCCGATCCCCCTCCGCCGCTGCCCTCTGTCGACCACCACGTTGGCCAGGTAGGCCACATCCGGCTGCTTCTCCCTCTTGATGGCAGTGGTGCTGCTCTCACGCCCCCCTTCTCTCCGGCTCCCCCCCCCCTCCCGGCTCGGCCTCCCGGCTCCACCCTCGGTAGTGGTGGCACCCGCCCGCGGCGTCGACGAAGAACGCTCGCCGTCCGACTTCTTTTTCGCGCCCGACGCTACCGCCGCCGCCGCTAGCGCGGCCGACGCCCTGGCCGCCGTCAGGCTCTCCCCGGCGAGGGCGCTCTCCTCCGAGGAGCTGGGCTTGGGGAGCATCCCGATCTCGAGGAACCCCACGACCCTGCGGCTGGTCGTGTCCTGGGCGATCACCATGCTGTGCTTGATCTCGTTGCGGGTCACGCGCCCAAGGCGGCCCTTGATCTGCCCGAAGAAGGCGAACTCCTGTTGGTTGGCGGAGGAGGAGGAGGAGGTTCGCGCGGGGAGATGCAGCGCATGCCGATCATTCAAACGTAACATTTAATGTTGGCCGGACGAGCAGAGTGGAGAATGGGTTGGTATCATCCGGCCTCCGTGGTGGTGGTGGTGGTCGTCGTCGTCGTCGCCGTCATCTTTTTGGGGAATGAATGCGGAACAAAAGAAAAAAACAAGTCGTAGGGCCACCGCTGCATCGGCGCCAACTCCTCATACGCGTATTTCAGCACCACCATGGTGATGAGAGAGGAGATAGTGCGGAACGGGGCAGGTCGAACGCCGTCGGCGGACGGACGGCATTTCTTGTGTGCCAACCATGGCCAAAAGGGGGGCTGAATAACTTGCTAAAACTTCGTGTACATGGCCAGGCGAGCGAACGGTTCTCTTAACGAAAGTGGCTATTGCTGCGGAGTCGTGAGAGAAACTTGTGTGTCGGCGGAGAAGCACTGCAAGGTGGTACTCTGGTGCGGGCCGGACAGAAGCACCAGCAAGCGTCTAGTACGATTTTATTCATCCATGATCTATGGCTCTTGTTCAATTCTATTTGGCGATGCAACATGTGAGACATTTTTCAAGCAATTTTCACCCTAGTAAAAAAAAAAGCGGGATTACGAGTTGCCGTGCTTCGTGCTATCAAACAGCAGCAGGCAGGAGACCTCGAAGGTGCCAAGAGAGAGAAAACATGGGCCAGTCGGAGTACAACATCCAACGGTGAAAACGCGTGAAATATCCAAAAACTGAAGGATAAGCCCAAAATAAGCCCTCTGTTGGGGCACTGGCGTCTTTTGGACGTGCACAGCACCAGCGCTATACTTGTAGCTCAAGCAACACTAAATTCATGTCATACCTGGAATAGCTGTATGGGAAGCTCGAACCACTGGAACGGTCCCCGAAATATGTCGATGCATAGTCTGGCGCGAAAAACAACGAAGGCATTGGGAATGAGAATCCTGGGGTGTGCGATGGGTCCGTTCAAAAGGGCTTGGCGCGCGGACAAGTAAGCCCATTAAAAAAACTCCGATCTACTGTAGACTATGTAGTGCTGATCAGAGAGGGCTGGACATACAGGCGGCTGCACATCGATTAGGCAACGCACCGCCTTCGCGGGACATTAAACATTATAAGGAAGTTGAACAGGGAGGGGGTACGCAGACCCTATTCCCTTACCCTAGCCCAACGTCCCCGATTGTATCCTTCATCTAACATGTTTCCTATGTACACAAAAAATACAAAATCCCAAAATCCCTGCGAAAGCTACTACTCTTCTTGCTGTAGTAGGCATCCGTGAAGGGTACATGTATATGCAGTCCATGAACTTGACTTTTGGCATTTAGTGCTCATCGCTCTGCTCCAGTCAACACGTGTACCGAAATACATACTGCTGTATGAATGGGTCTACAGCTGACGCATCAACGCTACAAGTACACTCTCAAATTGGGAACAGACCGTCCATACAAGTATATTATAGTATGCATATGCATACTACAGTACAACAGAATACACGCAACATGAGGCGTGCGGGAGAGGGGGGGGATGCTCGTCATGCTACTGCACCTTCGTCTATTTACGACTTCATGACGATACCATACTGCTGTGCGTGGTTGTTCGGTTATGCATGTCATCATCTCAGCGCACGTTCAGCTCGATCACAGTCAACAAGGTCTCGTGTAACCAGTATAGCAGTAGTAGTCCTCACTCACCTGGAGATGCTCGGCATGTCCCCCGAATTCGCTGTTCTAACAGCGAGCTTCGCAGCTTCCGGGACGCCCCCCGCCGAGGTAAACCTGTCCAGCACCTCGTCCTGTTCGACCCGCTGGGAGACTACCTTCTCCCAAGAGCCCCACCCACCCGACGGTTTCCCCGAGACCTCCTTGCCCTGCGCGGCAGCCTTCGCTGCCTTCGAAGGTGCTCTTACTATCGGGCCGTCATGATCCCCGTGGTCTGGGCTGAAAAGGTGACATGCCACCGCCGATGCGGTGTTTCTGCTGCCGACACGAGCACGCACCAGCGGCGGCGGGGCGAAAGCCAGGCCGACAGGCAACCCGTACCAGCAGAGCACGGCTATCAGGGGGTAATGCATCTTCAAAGGTCGTGCTGCAAGTCGTGTGCCGCTCTGTCTGACGGCGTGTGCTCCGATGATTCATGACAGATGATGTCAACATGATCGGGGGTGCCGTAACCCCTTTTCACACAACGACCCCCCCGCGGAGCGTCTCGGAAGAAACAGCAGCTGCTCTACCAGTATATCCTCTGCTACACGATCGAGGTAGCTACCAGAGCCAACCTACGCGCTCACACGTACGTGAGGTAAGAAGTAAACTGTTTTGCTTTGCCATTGGGAATGTAGCTCGGGACAGCTGGTTGGTAAGGCAAGGTACACAGGGTTGAACGAGTACATGAACACGGAGAGAACTTGTCCACTACTGTTTGTTGTAGCATAGAAGCAGTGCTGCAGCTGCTTGTAGTCAGTCTACCATTACATCCCACTTTTACAGCAGCAGAGTCTTCAGCTAGACTCACGAGGAGTAGCAGTTAACAGAATATTTCTGTTCCGGGATGCAAGGTGATACCAGGTATGTGTCTTCCCCAGCGAATGCTAGCACTGCTGTGCTTTTCAACTTTACCATGTACACCCGGCATGCTGTACTTGCTTATTGTACAGATAGATGTCATGTTTTCACTTGCCTCTGTTTCCGGCACATCATGCATCCGTGTGCGGGGCGCGCAAAGAATACCCCGACTGCATTTCAGCTGTGGGAAACCCAACCGGTGTCCACCCCCCCGTACTTCTGTGCTAATGTCCATCAAAACTATGCGTTCTCGTGATGATGGATCCAACGTTCGGTGGCGTTGAAGTTCGGGCGCCAGACACACTTCCGAACAGCAAGCACGGCAACTCTCACTTTTACTTATCCCCCTCCGCTGCTGCTGTGCTATTTCTTCGCCCCCCCCTGGCGCCCGTGTCGCTCCCCCTGGCGCGCGTGGAACAACTATGACCGAAAGGACCCACACACACACACCCATCCGAACGATGGTTGTACTCGTGTGGAGACTGCTGCTGCTGCCGCTCTTCCTGCTACTTTCCCCCTCCACTCGTGATGGTGTCGAAGCTTTCGCCTTCACCACGCCAAATCCCGGCGCAGCGCGCGCGAGGGCTGCGGCACTACCACCACGCGTCGGTGCTCCCCGGACTATGGCTTCGGCAGGGCCACCCTTCTTCCCGTGCAGGGTGGCGGCGGCGGCGGAGCGAAGTAGCTGGGCGACGAGCGCAACGAAGAGGGGGAAGGAAGGCGACGACGATGGCGACAGGATCGACATGCTGACGGGGAGCGGGCTGCGCGGCGTGGACACGAGCAAGCTCACGGGAAACGAGAAGCGGGACGCTGATTGGTTCCTCCGCACGAACTCCCGTGAGCTCGTGTGGTTCGAAGACCCGGTGTTCTACCTCGGCCTGTGCTTGATTGTCCCGGTGGTCGGCCTCGTGTGGGGCGCCTTGAATTGCTACGTCCCCGGAATCTGCCCCTCCACGTTGTAGATGTATTTTATTGTGCGCATGATGCGATAGAGCGGGGGTGGGCTTGCTCCCGGACAGATGTATTTTTTGTTCGGACAGAGTCGCTCGACGAGGAGCTTGAGGTATGCGTATCTTCCCACCAGTGTAGGCGTAACACGAGCGCGCAGCTGCTACAGTGTTGTTGGTGGTGCAGGGATAGGAAGGGGAAGAATGATCAGGATGGAACTGTTGCGTACTTCTCTTTTCTCCCTCCATCTTGCAAGTACTTGTTGTCAAGATATATAAGTCGAAGCATACAATGGGCATGCGATCAATAAAGCCGGTACACGTGAGCTTTCAGGCCACGACCACGGACAAGAAATACCCCGTGCGGCGGGACGCCCCGGAAATGTTTATTATGAGGGTCGTATAGACAGCAAATCTTGCGAGCAGTCCGATGGTCTCTAGAGATGCACATGGTACTCCCCAGCGTGTCACCTAAGCTTATTGTGGGACGAGCACAATATAAAGCTTAGTATCTATGTACAGCAGTATACCGAGGTCGTTCGTCCTCGTCGCAGTTTGCGCGAGAAATGTCATGCATCAGCCACCAAGAAGGGGCGTGCATGATCCTAGAGACACGGTAGGGGAAGGGTGCAAGGGTTTTCATTTATCCGTGCCAAGAAAAACGCAGCGGCAAGTAGAGCGACGTCAGCGGCAGTAAGGAGAACACCGGATGACTGCTTCCGGTGGCGTTTGCCGCGATTTGAGGCTGGGTGAACGCCGTGTATCGTGATTTTGTGAAACGCCCGGATTTTGGTGCGCCGGAGACAGTTTGACGGGGAACCGGTCGTGGAATTGACGTTGGCTCCAGGCGAATACGACGAGGGTGTGTTGGTTTGCGGGAAGGAAAACGCGAAAACATTCGCTGTTGCCCCTCTGTCGGGTTCAGCCCGATGATTTGGAGGACTCAACCCTCAAAGGGACCAACCAGTACCGAGAAACATGTTTGAGAGGAGACATAACTTTGAGGAGACAAGGTCTCTACGTCACTTTTCGCGACGCAGCGCCTCTGCGCTCTTCCCGAAAACTCGGTTGTATTTCGGTTAGCGTACCGCACCCTCGTCTAGTCGCTGGGTTACCGCGGTGCAATGCACTACATCGGAAACGAAGGCAGTGCTACATAACACAAGTTAAGGACAATATCAAAACAAGAGAGCAACTACTCGGATATTGCAACCATAGTCGCAACGTAGACAATCAAGACGCCCCCGACTTCCTAAGAGATATGTGTCTCTCGATGTGACGTTGTGCAAAGAAACGAACAACTTTCTTGCACCGCAAATTAGACCAGAAGGTCTCTAGTGATCACACGGGTTCCCAAGTATTTACTATCAGACCGAATACTCCCCCCTCTCTCTCTCTCTGCGTATCTCTTTGTGGAGCACTGTGCATGAACCCGTCATAAGTACTGCCCTTCTCGTACCGGCCATGATGACGATAACGACGACGACGTGCCAACAGCAAGAACGGCTGCAGCGACGGTGGTGATAGCCACGACGAGCGAGACGCCTCTCGGGACGTTCTTTGCCCCCGCCGACTCGGAGTCGGTCTGGTCTGCCGTGCAAAAGTCCCCCCCCGCTCCCGTGCCCTGCGACGTACCCTCGCAGTCGCAGCCAAAGTCGACGCATGTCCCGATACCGCCGCAAACGATCCCCTCCGCCGTGCAGAAAACTTTGAAGAAGTGCGAACAAGGTAAAAGTGACGCAAGAGAGGGGGGGGGGACCACGATTTTGTTTTGGTTCCGTGCTATTGCAACTCGACTGCGCACACACTCTGATTTCCGGAGCATGGATCAGAACACACACAAACCACGCACATCGATGGCTTACACATTCCGACGTTTGCGGCCATTTGATGCACACACGGTCAAAAACAAAATCTAGATCAAAAGATCTGTACCTGCGAGCGGAACATTTGAAATGACGGGCAGACGAAAGTAAAACACGGCGACTATTGCAGTGCTAGGTTCTCACGTGTTTCGGTGCTGACGAAGACGTCGCTGACGAAAGACCCGCCCTCCACAGCGTCACCCGCGATCAGGTACAGCGCGGGCTCTTTCACTCCGTTTTCGCCGTCTGCCGTCCACGCCAGCATCCTGTGCCCCCACTTGCCGAGGTACGTAGGGATGTTGTCGACCTCCGTGAGAGCCCACTCCATGCTGGAGTACAGGTTCGACCCGGTTGATCCTTCTTCGTAGTTCACCTTCGACAAAGTTTTGGTGGAGTTTTGGGTGTTTGCTTGCTCCGTCGTGTTCGATGCGGCGGTGTTACTTCGTCCATGAGTGGGTGGGTATTGCAACCGAGGGAACAACGGCTGCCTGGGAAGGGCTAAATAATCGTTCTCGATTCCGACCGCGTCTGCTGCAATTATCGTGGGACCACGTGGTCTTGCGATCCCGGACGTTATCAACCGCACACTGGGGCCGATCCGGGCGTGGTTTTCAGTAACCTAGTGCTCGAATTGCATGGAAAGGTGTTGACGTCGTCTCTCGATCACAACATCAATTGCCACGTTGGAACAGTAACACACGACGAATGAATGCGTGCGTGGAGCACAACCCTCTCGGTAATGTATGCCGAACTCTCTCATTGTCCACACTCTCTTCCGACTGTATCCTCGAAAACCCACCTGGTGCCAGGTGAGCCCGTCCGTGCTAAACCACATATCCACGTAGCCGATCATGGAAGAGACGATGCTGTTGCCGTTCTGCCCCATATACCCGCCACCCGCGAGCCACATGCGAGGGCCATTTCCCGTGAAAGTTCGGAATTCCGACGATGGAGTCACGTCCGCGTAGGGATCGGAGACCTTGGTCAAGGTCGCAACGTCGAACCATCCTCGAGGACCCCAATCGGCGCTCTCGGTCACGACAGACCAGGCCACTGTGCACCGAGAGGGAGGGAAAATTTCGATCCCCTGTCAAGTTGGACTCGGCAGGTCTTGAGAAGAGCATCGCTACAGGAAATGATTCGGGCGATATTTTATCCATTTGAGAAGTAATGCACAGCTATGTAGCTCTCGACCTGCCACATGCTGTATACGGTACAAGGCCCCCCTTCGGGGGTTAGGTGGCTTGCCTCCCGGGGGCGATGCAAGAGGACATGGTCAATGTAATCGCCATCGCATCATTGCATCTTTTCGTCATGAAAATCCGTAGTGAGAGCCGGTTTTGCGTACAACCTGCAGAATTTGCCTGGAATTGCATAATGCGAGCTTTTTTTTATCTCGCCGTGACTTTGCACGTAAGCGTGAATGTGTGCCTTTGGGCTAGTGGCGTCTTTGCTGCGGGCCCTTCTGTAATCCGCTGCGTTTTATCATTCGTTCGTATGTGTTCGTGTTGCTCATGGTCTGTGGGACCTGTGTGCATTGCGCAGAAACCAAAAATCTTCTATTTCTTACGAAGGCTTTCTTCGGACCGAACACGTCCCCGGGGTATAGAGCCATTTCTTTCAACTTTGTGCGTCAAGCACACGCGCCACGGGTGGCTGGCGGTCCTCGGGCGTGCGCGGTAATGTACCGACGATACCCCTGCATGCCCCTGAGAAGCAAGCGTGAGAAAATACAAAATACTCGCTTCCGCCAGGGACAGATGTCTCGAAGCATGAAAACAGGCGAAATGGTACATACGGAAATATTGCCGGAGGGCGCTGATATGAGTTGTTGTCTTGGATGCTACTCCCTCCGGCTTGTCAGCCCAGCCAAGACGATTTCTGTCTTCGTCAGGTTTTCTGCTCCCCTCTCTCTCTCCTCCTCTCCTTCGAAGTCTCAACAACATCTCACCCCCATCCTTCGTCTTGTACACGTCGTTCCTGCATCGCATCCCGTTGTACCTCGGGTCGTCTTCCGGCCATCCCCCGAAACCGCCCATCAAGAAAAGCGTGTCATTAAACTCTGACTGCACCAGGGGGCGTTGAACCACGGCAGCAGCTGACCCATTTGCGAGACAGTCGAGGAGAACGAACAGCGGTAAGCACCTACAGTAGTGCGACGAACCACAGCGGGTACAATCCACCCTCATTTTAACATCAGCTTCTACCGCTGTTGTGGACGAGAAAGGTGCATGACTTTGAAAGTGCTTACAAGTCGTGGCTACTACACCTATGGTGAGGTTTTGGATTCACCTGGTAGGGCTTTGTCTCACCTAAGCCTGCCCTAGGCGAGAACGGCACGTCGTTTCCGCTGGCCATCTTCTCCCAAGCGAAGGACCAGAACCCGGACGCGTCCTGCACGATGTCTCCCGCCCAGACATCGTTGGTGAGAGGCGACCCTCCAATGATGAACAACCTGAGCTTTGTTGTATGAGCGTTAGGCGGCGAAAGCGGGTAGGCGGTCGATTGTGGTTTGTGGTGTTGAGTGGGTGTGGTGGATGATGTAGGCTGTAACAATAGTGGGATAGGTGTCACGACTACTGTCACAGTGAAATAAGCCCACGATGTGCTTGTGCCATCGGGGTGCGGTAAGGTAATGCATCATTTGAAGACCGCACCTTCCGAGCACCCCAATAAGTGTGCAAGCATGCAATGTTGGTTGATAAAAGCCACGGGAGGAGTCCTCTTTCGTGCCGACCCCTATGCACAGTACTGTAGTGGTACGTTGTTCTTCCGAAGGCTACCTGTCCAGAAACACGCTGCTTTCGTGCCAACCTCGACCCGTCCAGTTGGCGTTACCCGCGAAACGCCAGTCATCTGCACGAACGAGAGGGTACCGCACCAGTAGTATCGGGGCAAGCACGGCGTGCACAGGCCAAGTCCAGTCAGGACAGCAGTGTCTCTGTGTTTCACAGGATAGGTCTCCACACGTCTAACTGATGTGCTCAGATGAGCAGGCAGCGCATTGGCCCACAAAATTACCCATCGTGTTGTTGTCGATCCTTCAGGAGGACGAGGGTTCAAGGGCTTTTGCAGTCGGAATATAATCGACAGACTCACTCCCATCTTCCGTGACCCAGACGTCGTTGTCAGGGTCAGGAGTGTACCCTCCAGCAAGTACCATTAGCTCCGTCGATACTCCGCTGTGGTTGGTGGCCTGGAGAACGTCAAGTGTGTGCCCGAATCGAGCATACCACGGCGCCAGGGCACCAGGGTCAACCGCATCGAAATTTTGCAGCTGAAAGTCCCCCGTCAGCTCGTTGCTCTGCATCCACGTCTGCCCATCTGGCGAGCTCCACACGTCCCCCCGTCTGTTCTGAAACCTCAAGTTGTAGGTCTGGTATAGCTCACCCCTACCACCGACCACCCAGAGCCGGTCCTTGAACACAGCTGCCGCGTGTCCTGCAGTATAGTCGTCGGATCGCGAGGTTACACAATTTATCCTACAGCATTTCTTGTACATATGTTATTGGGGCGCACACGAGTGGTTCAACAGATCGACTACACTCTAACTTATACCGGCAGCGGACAAAGCAGTCGTCCTATTACCGTACGTACGGGACTACAACAGTTTTCAGTAATTTTTCAGTGCAGTACACCTGCCGGCGAAGAGGCCGGCAATCGATGTAAGACTGCTGACATACAATGTTACAGCAATATAGTTCTCAAATCAGTAAGAACTTCACTGCTGTACGTAGTTGAGCCCCATATTTAACCTATACACTCTATACAGCAGTGGTGGCTGTTCGTTGCCCAAGAAACGAAATGAGCCGCGAAACCCGTCCCATTAGACTAGAGGGTGGTGGTACTGAAAGTCGTCGCGCCAGCCGTGTGTAGCCCCACAGCAGTACGGCACGGTACGTACGCGTTTAGCAGATACATAATACATCAGTTCCGTGCTTGCCGCCACTATGAAACATATACCGACAGCGACCTGGCAAGCAAGAAAGCACCGCGCTGCTCAACTGCGGGCATTCATTGGACAGCAGCCGTGCACGCTCTCACCGTTGCGACCTGAAAACGAATCATCAGCTTCCAGTTGGATCCAGCTGTTGGCCGCGGACGTGTTGTATTGCGCTGCTCTCACCTCGCTGCTGCAAGCCGCGAGGAGAGCAAGACGAAGAGCAAGGGTAGTCCATATCCGAAATGCCGATCGCCTTCTCAGCATCTGGCGTCACCTCGGTGTCTCGCCCGCTCTCGCGGGGACGCGGTCACACACTCACCGCTCCGAAAAGATCGTATGATGGGTCGATCTTCACAAAAACAACGGATTTTTTTTTTGCAAAGGGTTTCAGCTGAGTCTCGAGGCCTATGAAAATATTTTGTGCGCGCGCGCGAAAATGCGGTAGATTTCTCGAAGACGTCATCATCAAATTTAAATCGAAACGGAACATGAGGCATCCGATGATTGGTCAGCACCGATGGAAGTCAAATTGTTGTCCTCACCGTGAATCATGTTCTTAGAAATTTCTACGGGGACACGACGTTGTTGCCCCTCTGCTCTCGCCGACGCGAACGACGGGGCAAGGAGCAGGTATGGGTGATCCACGACACTCTTGAGGGCTCTTGTCTCCCCATTTGTGCTGTCGAAGACCCTTTTTGGGTAGCTGTAGGTGTAAGTTCAATGACGACACCATCTGGCACATTTCCAACATCCCAACGTGCGTGCGTGTGTGTGCCGAACTTGCATCTTGGAGGTAGTCATCCGCCAGCTGTGTGTAGCGAAGAGGCCCCTTGCAGATGTACGCAGGCCCCGTGCCGACATCCGCACTGTGGGCATGCACAGGCCCGGGGGTGAAAAGGTTGTACTGTAGGCTTGGAAATTCTCGCTGAGGTGGTTGTTGTTGTGGTACGTTCTCGCATTGTTCGGCGAACAGCTCTCCGCGTTTTTTCCAGCGGGCGATGTTTGCCCGTGTGTCTGTCGGAGCGCGCCCGGCAATATACGCAAGAGCTAGACAGAGGTCGAGTAACTGCTGTGTGCCCTCTCGTGCTACCGCTGCACATCTTCGCAGCAGCAGGACGCGCTGCGGACATATATATCTGTCCACCACAGCAGGAGTACTTGCTACTACACTTGCTCTGCTGCTGTCTATCTAGACTTTCTGCTGCACAGGCAGGAATAGAGCGGGTTCTCCTTCTTTTCGCAAATGTGTGATGTCAGCGCTCGGTGTAAGACATCTTGCCGCATGCCTTTCAACGGCCCGTGGCAAGTGTGGCACCCCACCTGATGCCGACCGAGAAAAATCTAGGAGATGCTGCTGTGCAGATGACCGCCTCTTGCCCGCGCGGTAGCACAGCAGCAGTAGTTCAGCAGGCAGAGAGTAAACAGACCACCACAATTGGCCGGAGACCTGACGCCGTTGTGTTGCTGAGGGTTGTCAGCTACCGTAGAGTAGGGTATGATGGTATGAAAATAAAGTAATGAGCGCCAAGCGCACGAAACGATCGTTACCTCCCACGTGGCACGCAATACTCGGATGGTCTACATTTAGACTGTACTGCTGTGTGCAACCGGTGAACAACCTTGTGCTATGTAGACGAAAACATATTTTCAACATATTTTCAAAAAAATATGCTGCTCACAGCGTTCATTCATAAATGCCGAGAGGGTAAGGACTTGTAAACAATAATAAAAACTAGTAAGGACTACTGCGGAGGCAGTAGTCTAAAGTTCCTCTTGGTTGTTGTCGGGAACTCTGGATGGGTCAACCCCAACGCGTGTATACATATTCATAGATTGCCGTGTGCCCACGGCTGCTTCCCCAATTGATTTTACGTCAAGTGCCGTTTGTGTCCTTGTGTACGATGGCGTCACACGCAGAAAGGCACACACATCAATACTACTCACACGAGCAAAAGCCCAGTATTGCAGAAGACTCCAAAATCCCCTCTCGCTTCAAGTGCCGTTTGTGTCTTGTAACGATGGTGGCGTCACGAGCGTGTCAACTCCAACCCGTGTATACCTTGTGAGAAAGGGGGTCTTGTTCGTCGTGCGGGTCCCATATCTCGTTTGTGGATAGGCTGAACGCAACAGATACAGCGGCAGAAAAGAATTTCACACCATTTCGCCATTAAATCTGATATTCGAACGCTACCTACCGCCCAAGTCTATAGACCTCTCCGGATAACGCCCTCCTCTTACTGCTGTGTACATCGCTAGGCCAAAAGGACAATTAGCTGAGTTGTACCGGCACGGTCTTCTACCGACGTCGAAATGCCCGCGTACAAAAAGGTGCACGACAGCAGAGCAGTGAGTGATGGTGTTCTCGATGAAACGATACAGTTCGAAGTATTATTGAGACCCACGGTCGGAACATTCGTCCGTGTAGATAAACAAACTAAACGCAGAAGAAACGAATCCGACGTGTGGAGACGCCTGGGCCGTTGTTGCGCGTAAAAAGCGATACGCTTGTTGTATCATATCGCCAATCATATCGCCAGCCCATTACTGTACTCCGTTCGCAGTTATATTTTCCCGCCCTGTACGGCCTTGCTTCCACTATTACTGAAGAGCTCCCATCCCGGATCACACAGGAAAAACACGTTTCAATGCGTGCATTCTTTCACAATTTATTCGCACAGCCCCTTTCATAGTGCATTTAGAACACAACCCGTGCCACTATCGGTCGGGCGGGTTCGTGTTCGTTCCTGCCAGGCCAGACCTCTTGGCTTCGTAGCTGTTTAAGACAGCCAGTCTCTTTTCCAACCCCTTAATTAACCCTAGGTCCGCCAGCGCCTAACCAAGAAGCGTCTGCAGACCACCGACCGCACGCCATGCCGTACCATATCATTCATGCTAAAACCTTTTTTTTCTTTCTTTTCGCCGCTTTTACGCCTGGAGCTAAAGAACAGGAAATGACCATCTCTCCTCCTCCCTATCTCCCCTTCGTCCCTCCACCACCCCAGCGATAACGACCAGTAAACAAGTCCTTCGGACGGATGGGATCGCCAAGAACCCCCGCCACCTTAAGACCTACAAAAAACACCTACCATCTGCTCTGTTCGTCCCCTCTTCGAACAAACACACTTTGCAGCTACGTACGACCCTCCAAAAGAAGCCACCACACTCATTTTTTATTTGTGTGTTGCGTCCCGATTTATTTCTCACACATATCTTCAAGCTCGCAAAATTAGAAATATGGTCCTTGTTGCCCAATCTCGAGACCAACAAGACCGGAAGCGTACCGTAGAGCCTTCTTTCAAGTTTCTCGCCAACTGAACCCCCAATATTTACCCTTTCCCGAGTTATTGTTGCTTGCTTGTGGTCGAGCAGCCGAGATAGCCCGAACACAAGACTGTTCCACCAGTATACCGGACGCCTGCCCGTATCCCCGTAGTACCCGGCCCACTCAACGATGTTCCCGCGAGCAATAGGCTAAAAGAATAAAAGGAAGCGAAGAGATTCGAGCGTAATAGGAAGCGGGGCACGATCCGTCTTGGGGCGCGGCGCGATTCTCCCCAATACGTTCCTCGCCCGGTTCCTGTTACTCGTTGGCTCGAGGGCACAGCAGTCTAGGACAACAACAGCACCAGTATCGCGTCGCTCCGGCCCATGCTCGATAAACGTATTGGAAACACCGCCTGTAAAACATGACTTCCCCTGCAAGATAAAAACCAAATTCTCATTCTCCTTTCACCCACCCTCCGCGCGCACCGAGCTGCATGGTGCCAGTGAAAGCTCTAGTCATTGCTCCCATGCGCTCCTCGCGTGCCCATCCATCACGTAGTGTCGCCAACGAAGCGGGCCTACTGGCTGCCGACGATGTCCTTGAGCCCTTGCAGCACCTCGGCGGCACGCATGTCGTCTTCTTCTTTGGGTGGCGATCTGTTCTCGATACCAAGGCAAGGCACGGACAGACCGAGAGCGAGAGGGAGACCGACGCATTAAGATTAGCACCGCATCGTGAATGAACTATCTACATGCACAAGATTCCGGTCCTAATCTAAAAAAACAGATGTCCTCATAAAACCCTCCAAGCCAACGAACGTGCTGTGGGTAGACGTCTCCGCAGCCACGAGAACCTGCGGTGGCAGTGCCTCGTTTCTCTTCCGAAAAAAACGCGAACGACAACATATTTAGTCTCGTACCATCCCTTCATTCTACTCGACCACCGGTACAGTAGGCGACGTCCGCTGTAAACACGAAAAATCAAGCCGGACAAAGCCACAGCGCCAAGCACGGACAATTGCCAACCGCAGGAGGAGCGACTCCAACTACAAACATGAGCGCCCTGACCTCCCTCTCAGAACTCCGCCACAGACCCCGCGAGGCCCCGACGGGAGCCAATCCCCCTCCCCCTCTACGACCAACGAAAAGGTCTACCGTGCACCAGCAAGACGAGGCCTACAAACTTACTTGGAATTTCCCTCCGCTGTCGGCGTGCTCTCCACGCCGCCGTCAGCTGCTGCCGAACCCGCGGTGGTCACCCTGGCCCTCGCGGCGCGCTTAAGCTTCTTCAAGCGTGGGCTCGGGGTCTGCCCCCCGTCGTCGTCCCTGCCCAGGTCAAGCCTCCGCTTGCTGTGCGCCCCGCCGCCGCTGCTGCCGCTGCTGCTGCCACCGCCCGCCGCCGCACTGGAGGCACCACCCCCGGCGAAGGCGCTCCCGCTGAGCGGGGAAGACGGAATGCTACCGCTACCGCAACCGCTTCCTCCTCCACCGCCGCGCGCGGACGACGACCCTGAAGGGGTTGCTGCTGCCGCTGCCGCTGCCGCGGCGGCGAGGAAGACGGCGGGGTCGGCGCAAAACTTGAGGGCGCTTGTGCCCGTACTCGCCTCCATCCTGGCCTGGAGGTTGGCGATCTTCTCCGAGGTGAACGAAGTGTGGTCCCAGTCGCAGTCCGGGTGGGTGCATCCTGAGGGGGAGGAAATGGCCGGGAGGGTGTTGTGGTCGGGGTGATTACCGCACGAGACAGGCGAAGAGGGGGGAAAAGAGGTAATGGGGAAACGCCGACAGAATCAACTCGGCTCGTGCCGACCACTTCTAGCAGAACGCACCCACAACACAAGTATGTGCAAGGCACCGAGACAGCAACAGAACCAACAGCACTCGTGAGCTGTGCTTGCTCTGCGGGTGCAACACTCACTGCCATCACCGAAACGTCATACGGAAACACCTATGCGATCGCCGCCCTGCTCGGCAACGTACAAGGCACAGCAAGACGGGAACAGTCTCGTGTACATACGCGCATCACCTTCAGCGACCAGGGAGAGCAAAATCTTTGAAAACTTGCGCGACTTGGTGATGGCCTCGTCGCCGATGTCCTTCTTGATGACGCCGACGATGCGCGCGTCGATCTTGCCGTCGAAGAAGTTGGAGTGCCGCCCAGTGTGCGCCTCCACCTGCTTGTCCATGGCCAGGCGGTACATCGCGCCCGCGCCGCGCAGCGCGATGAACTTGAACACATTCGTGAGCGTCAGGGTCCGCCCCTGCCTCGGGAGGTTGTACGTCGCCCGGTCCCGCGCCGTGGCGCTCGCCACCACCGCCGCCTCGATCAGCCCAAGCTGCTTCACGTGGTTGTCCGTGTAGTTGCGGCCTCCGACGGAGGACCGCGGCAACGGGGCCGCCCGCCCGCCGGACCTCCCGCCGCCCTGGAGAACCTGTCGGGGTCTCGGGGCAGCGACCTCCGCCCGAGGGCTCGGGCGGCCGGCGGCGACGGCGGCGACGGCGGCGGCGGCCGCGGCGGCGCTCATGATGGGTGGCGGCGCAGGCCGGAAGTCCATCGGCACCGGGGAGACGACTGCGCCGGTGGTTATCTGCGGGGTGCAAGCGCCCGGCAGGGGCGAAGAGGAAGGGCCCGACGAGGCCACCGCCGCCGGGCCTAGCTCGTACGAGCCCTTGGGTGCGGCGGCGCGCGTCCTCATCCCGTAGCCCTCGCCCGCTCGGCCGCCGCCGCCTTCGTGTCCGCGGCCGCCGTCGTGGGTGAACACGCCGCCTTCTTCTTCCCCCCTGCTCCCGCTCCCGCTCCCGCTGCCGCCCCCACCCGCGCCCGCTGCCCTCTTCTCCGCTCCCGCCGTGACGACCCAACCGTGCGCGTTGTGCTGGCGGCGAGCGTCCGAGGGAATCCCGCGCCCGTGCTCACGCCCCACCGAGGCGGGGGGAGAGTGGCGGGGGCTGAGGCGCCTCCCTCCCTGCGATTGGTGACCCTCGAGGCCGTCCGCTCCGGCATCCCCCGCCCGATGATGGTGGTGAGGAGGAGGCTGGGATTCGGGGCTTTCGCCGCCGCCTCCCAGCTGGGGAAACCTGCGGCTTCTCAAGCGCGCCGGGTACCTCGAGGGAGAGTGTTCCCTCCCCCTGAGGCTGTTGTTGCCGCCGCCGCCGCCGCCGCCGCTGCTATCCACGGTGCCCGGCACCCCGGCCGCCCCCGCCCGGTCGGCGTGGTGGTGGACGTTGTGGAGGTGGTGGTGGTGGTGAGAGGTGGAGTGGGCTGGCGTCTCGAACGCCCCCGGGCCCGCCCGAGACACCGCCAGCGACGCGACGGCGCCCTCAGCGCCGCCGTTTACTCTGCGAGAAACGGCCACCCGCCCCACGGCCTTGATCGGCGCCGAGGGCTCCTCCCCGCCGCCTCGCGACGACGACTCCTTGGGGGTCGCTCCGGGGACGTGCTGAGGCCACGCCGTGCCGGCCGCGTTGTTGGGCGTAGCGGCCGCGCCGGAAGGGGCAGCGGGGGCCTTTGCCCGGCCGCCCTTCGCCCTGCCGTTGGCGTGGGGCGTCGAGTCTTTCCTTCCGCCTGGAAACGGGGAGGGTTCTCGCCCATCGGCGGGGCCGGAGGAGGCGGGGCTGCAGCGCCCCTCCGCTCCGGACTGGGGACCGTAGTACGACGACGATGATGCGCCGTTGCTCTGCCCGCTGCCACCAGTGGTTGCTCCAGCGCCGCGGCTGCTGCTGCTGCTGCTCCCGTTGGAGCCGCAGAGGGCGTCGCGCGCCGCAAGGAGCGACTGGAGGTGGACGCTGAAGGCCTCCGCCTTGCGCCAGTCCTGCGCGCTCATCGGGCAGCACGGCCCCGGCGATATCGTGCCCGAGGAAGAGGAAGAGGACGATGACGTCGTCGACGAAGGCGACGAGGACGACGATGACGCCGCCGCGTTGAGCACCTCGTCCCAGCCGTGGGCGGCGGCGGACCCCCGGCTGCCCCCCTCGTTGGCCCGGCTCATGACGTGGGCGAACAGCGTCATCAGGTTCGGTGGCATCTAATTTTTATATATATACGGTGCCCGGCCACACAAAAACAGCAAGTGAGGGACGCAGGCAAAAATAGTGCCGGAGGAGGGAATAAGAAAGGGGTGCGGGAGGACAGAAAAAAAATTGGGGTGGAGGAGGGAAGGGGGGGCTCCGTGTTGGGATTTAGGGCGACCGCCGTGTAATGCGTACGATTCGGAACCCGCGCAACCGTTAACCGTCAAACAACGGTCCTCCTGTTGCGGGGAAAATGAAAGAGGTGTAAGAGCTGTCTGGCATGCGGTGCTAGATGGTTGGCGTGTCAAGGTTCGGCAGCCGGCGTACTATGTGTTATGTTTCCCGCTGCTGAGACGTATGGAACTCGCCAACAGGCATGGCTGCACAAGACCGCCTCTGCCTGATGTGTACCATAAGACCGCTGGGGCGAAGAGACGAAAAGGATCTTGTACCATCTCGTACAACTATTAAGGGACAGCACAGCGAGCGTTGCGAACGGTGACGGTTTCCTCTAGGCGCAGCCAGCATCTCTTCGCCCGGCCGAAACCAAAAATGTGTGGATAATGTAGTATGACATATCACACGGCAGACGGCGAGAGCTTGAGCGTCTACAGGTGAACCTAAAGGTCGCGCGACGCCGGTCACCCGGTCGTTGTGTGTATTCAGAGTGAAAAACTGCTGCGCGCTGCTTGATGACTGGTCGGGACCAGAGACAAAAAGTCGCAACACCTCCAGGCTTGCAGGTCTGCGACATCATGCTCTCCGTGGCCCGGAGGCAGGGGCGCAGATCGGCGGCAAAACATGGCGAACGACGGGCGCACACATCCTCCATGTGATGTCATGCGCTCCACATCGGAATCCGCTTACCGGTACATACTCCGCCAGATGCAAATCCGCAGGCGGCGATTTTCAGCTACACGATGCAGCCCGCTCTTTTTCTGGGCTCCCCAAGGCCAAATAACTAACACTGCTGTGCCGTTCGTGCGCTCCGGGCACTTGACTGCTGCCTACGGCAAGCGGGGTGCGGGAGAGGAAAACCGGGCGGGGTTCACTCTACGTGTGTGCCGCTTTATCTAGACTTATGTGTAGCGCGCATCACCTGTTGTGTCTTGTCCCGAATCCGATCCTTGGGATACATTTTGGATGCCAGGCAGCACCTAGCTGATCACTTGCCCTTTGCAGCAGCAACGGCAGCAGCAGCAGCGGCAGCAGCTAGCCCAAAGCGTTCACGCGCTCATGTGCCCGAACAGCACTGCAGGTAGGGTGCTCAGGACGTGTAGATCGGTACCTGCGACACAGCAACGTCCGGGCGTGAAGAGGTGTCCTATGGGTGTGTGTTGGTGACAAAGCCAGAGAGCAACCCCCTCCGTTTGGACGTCAGAGGCCGAGGCAAAGCCACCAATAAATTGGATCTCTCTCGCTAAATCGCATATAAAGCAACGCGCGCGCACGGCGCCGACGGCATCTACAGCACTTGGGGAAGGCCTGCTGGACGCTGGTAGGCGCCGTGAGGGCCACAAGCGCTCGTGCTCGGTCCGTGAACACGGGGGCCTCCAAACGCGATTTCACGAAACGACGAGCTCGAACAGGCAGCAGACACAGCTTGTACACCAAAATGGTCCGATTATGCACAGACGTTTGCACCACACAGTCAGGCCAGGGCGGAGCACTGGCCACCAGCAGCACCTCTGTATAGACCCCGCCCCTTGTCCGTGGGCGCGAGGGCGGGGGGGGGGGCGTGCCCACGCGCCTTTGCCGGCGCGTGACTGGCAATCATCCTACGCTGTGGCACCTGTGTGCTTAATTCATCAGAGAGAAGATCAGCCAGCACACTTCGGCGACCGAACACAAAGGCAGCAGCAGCAGCGGCAGCAGCAGCAGCAGCAGCAGCAGCAGCAGCAGCAGCAGCAGAAGCGGCGGTAGCCCGGTCTCACCCGCTGTCTCGAACTCCTTTGCCGTTGGTGAGCGCACCCGGGAAGCTCCTACTGTATGTTGACGTCGGGTCGGCGTATTGACTGTGCGCTGTGTAAGCGTGTAATAAGCGAGAAAACGATGGGGAGAGAGCGGGGGACAGAGACAGCAGGAAAACGGGGGATACGCAGACCGCAAGGGAGAATCAGCACACGACATCGCGGGGGGGGGGGGTGTCTCGTGCAGTAGAGGCAGCGTGGCACTGCGGCGCTCGGGTGCTGTCTGATCTGGCATCGCCAGCAAGTGTGTGTGTCGGTGTGTCCTCGGATCAGCCGGTGCGTCTGCTGGACATTCCTGTATGCACTGTTGTGCGCACACGCTCTGACGATCCTGTCCTTCGCTTCTCGAGAATAACCATGCCGGTGAGTGAGTGTGTTGTGTTCGGTCGGGAGCAGCAGGGCAGTATGCGGATGTTTCCTGCTCCTGCATGACCCGGCAGTGTCGATGTATCTGTCTCTCATAGTCCTCTCTCTCTGTGTTTCTCTCTCCGGCACCTCTTTCATTTCGGGTCGCATTGCATTCGTCATGTGTGTGGTGCTGGTGACAATGACGATATGGTGTTGTTGTTGCTCTTTGTCATCGTTGAAAACCCGTATAATTTGACGCAATATTACACCCCCCCTCCTCGGCCTGTGGACTTTGTGTACTGCATGTAGTGCCCGCAGGACAAAGAGCATTTCAATTTCGCTCCGAGGGATTCTCTCTCTCTCCGAACACTCAGGGGCCCTCGGCTTGATTGATCTTCTTGTTTTTGTTGAGAGCTGGGGTGTCGAATCGGGGCGGGATGGGGGCGACAAGCTGCCATGTCGCATCGCACGAACACACATGACATGAAGACATCACGCACTGACACATACTCTCTCGCGTGGCGCCATGCCGGACCGTCCTTCATGGGAACTCACCACACGTTAGGCTGTGCGCATTTCGGCTGTCCTATTGGCGGCTGCTGTGCCTGCCGCGGTTGTTGGCTTCCTGGCGCCTTCTGTGCATACCAGTGTGCGACGCCTCCAACAGCCCGCAGGTTTGAGGATGGTGAGTCAAGTATCGCACGGTGGAGCTTAGACGGTACGCCTGCCGTATTGCACGAACAGTTCGGTGTGTCATCCCCACCCACCCACCCCCGTTTTGAACGGAGTTTCAGGCACGGTTAATCAACAGCAGTGCGAGGTGTGCTGAAGTACACCGTGTTGAGACAATTGTCTAAAGAATTATCCGAATACCAATCGAGGAGCTGCTGTGGCTCCTGCATGCCTCCGGTGTCAACACAAGGGAGTTTGGTGTGGTGCGGTCACGTGCGGCACCCGTGTGCTTTCAGCAGGTCCTCTTGCCGCCAGCCGCGCTCCAAGACGACCGCCGATTAGGAACAGTCATCCCACGCTGTTAATCCATGTTCTAGGTTGTTGGTGTGTGTCGTCTCTCGTCCCTTTGGAAACAAAGCGAGGAGGGTGGGGAACAAGAGGAAGCTTTCTACACAAGTTCAGCTCCCCAGTGTGCTCCTGTTCATAGTGTCCTTGGGTGTTACATCCTGTTCCCTCTACTTCAACTCGTACCTGAATCTCCACGAATGAACAATGGTAGAACGCGGTTCTCGTGTACTGGCTCTCTGTGGGTGTTTCCAGTGAACCCTGCCCAGCTGTAGAGAGCCACATGTATACCTCGACAAGTTTCTTCGGTTCACGCATGCATGAAATTACTTTGTTGTTGGGGCGAGACTATCCCTAGTACAAAAAATAATGACCCTTGCCTTCTGTGGGAAGAGCCGTGAACTTCATAGCACACTGATATATCCCTTTTGCCTCCCATCCCCTTTCTCCGCGTAGCATAAACACCTTCACAACTTGCAGCTCGAACAAAATTGGGGCCTCATTTCTTGTACTCCCCGGCCCCGCCACCAACCCACCCTCACGCCCCCCCCCCCCCC